CCCCCTCCCTCCCTACTCCTTGACCGCCCCCCTTCCTCCCCTCTTCCTCCTCCACAATTTCTCACCACTGTGAGTTGATGCTCATTCACTGTCACTTTTTCTGCTAATGTCTTTGAATGCGAATGTAATTTTCCGAAGTTGTGATTTAGTTTTCCCTTGTCTGTTTTATCAAAATTTCGTCTCTTTGTCTTTGGGATCGTAACTTCCCCTACAAATGTAATGTCTAAGCGCGACCCACAATTGGTTGGGTGGAAATAATAAATAGATCCACTACATTTAGTCAGTGCAAATTCCTCGGTATGAAATAGCTGGTGTAAATTCCATGGTGTGAAATGATTGGTGCAAATTCCAAGGTGTGAAATGGTTGGTGTAAATTCATGGCGGGAAAAGATTGGTGCAAATTCCACGGTGTGAAATGGTTGGTGTAAATTCCATGGTGTGAAATGGTTGGTGTAAATTCCATGGTGTGAAATGGTTGGTGTAAATTCATGGTGGGAAATGATTGGTGTAAATTCCATGGTGTGAAATGGTTGGTTGGTGTAAATTCCATGATGTGAAATGATTGGTGCAAATTCCATGGTGTGAAATGGTTGGTGAAAATTCCACGGTGTGAAATGATTGGTGCAAATTCCATGGTGTGAAATAGTTGGCTTCCACGGTGGGAAATGGTTGGTGTAAATTCCATGGTGTGAAATGGTTGGTGCAAATTCCGCGGTGTGAAATGATTGGTGTAAATTCATGATGTGAAATGATTGGTGCAAATCCCACGATACGAAATGGTTGGTGTAAATTCCACCGTGTGAAATGATTAGTGGAAATCCCACGGTATGAAATGATGGTTCATGTATGTTCTAGCTTCGCCCAGGTACGTCTAGTAGAGGTATCAATTTGGATCTTACCTGTCCTACCCTGCACATAGTAGGGTCTCCACTCTCCACTCTCTCCACGGGGCCCACGTGAGTGCAGCATGACGTCATACACAAATACAATTTCCACTTCATATAAAAAAAAGATACCCCCAAATAGACTTTTGCTCTACGTCATAGCCCCACGAGCCACCCCTGAAATAAACCTTTAAATTGCCTTACGTCATTGCCCCATGAGCCGCCCCTGAAATAAACCTTTAAATTGCCCTACGTCATAGCCCCACGAGCCGCCCCTGAAATAAACCTTTAAATTGCCCTACGTCATAGCACGCCCACATGTTGTAAGTTTCCCTTGTGTATTGTTGTTTCTGCAGAGCCTAACACATCCCCTGACAAGAACGTGTGGTTGTTCAACATCACAGCTGACCCGACCGAGCACCACGACTTGTCTGACCAGATGCCGGGCACGGTCCGGACCCTCCTGGGATATCTACAACGGTTTAACCAGCACGCCGTGCCTGCAGTGTACCCTCCCCTAGACAAGAACAGTAACCCAGCGTTGCGCGGGGGAGTTTGGGGACCGTGGCAGTAGTTCCCCTTGACATTTCCTTGTTTTGTTTTCTTTATAACTTGTTGTCTTTGCTGTGGAAAAGTTGACATGCTACAAATGTTAACGCTTTTTCAGCAGTAGATCTACTTTGCTCGGAAGTGGGTGTTTCAGAACAGCCTGTGTGTATCTTGCCGAAAACCATAGTGCCGATACTACATACTACATTAATTGCTGTGTGCAGTCTGTTCTTAAACTCTGATACCAGTTCCTGGTGTGCTATTTTAAAATTGTTGTTGTTGTGTTTTTAAAGAATACAATTGTTTGCCGTTGCTGACCCCCTTTTTTTGACAATAGCGTGCTTTTTGTGCTGTTGTTGTTTTGGTGGGTTTTTGTGTATGTGTTTATTTTGTGGGGTATCAACAGCTTGTTTATTTGTTTAGCTTTCCATGAACCAGTATCCTTCTGTCTTGAAAAGAAGTCAAGATATTTGCCATTGACTCAGGTGGGGGTCACCTGGTGTCAAGGTAAGGTTGGCGAGGAAATGGCTGCCAGTGATTGGTGACTCCCAAACCTGGAGAGTGGGTGGTTGGCGGGTGCTCTGGTGTGGTTTGCTCCTTCTTTCCTCTAAACAGCTATCGTCCTTATCTCTCCTCCTTCTTTTTTACGTTTGTTGTTACTCTCTTGTAACACCTCTAATCTTCGGCACTTATATGACCTTATTGTGTTGCAAGTGCCGTAAAACTCTTTACTAAAACTAAAAACCTGGAGAGTACATGTATTTGGAAACTGCAAATTTACATTTTGTGTGTCTTTTATGAACGTTTTTTTTTCCAGAAAGTCCACACAGAAACTTTAAATTGGACATTACAAGTGACGAGCTTAAAAAATGATTAAGATTGACCAAGGATGAAAAAAAACCCATTGTCTTTTTCTTCGATTTCCTTATTTTTTCGAGCGCTTGATTTCATCACGATGCCTGACAATTAGTAAGCTCTTCTGTCTCTACTCAGTCAGGTCATGATTTCCAGAATGGTGTCTCAGAGCTGTTAGCTAAATTAGTAGCCATTGTTAATACAATTTTACGGCAGGAAAAAAAATAATGGAAGATACGAAATTGACAAGCGTTCCAACTCGATAATGACCCGATATCTAATCAACGATATTTGGACCGAACAAAAGAATATAGTAGTAGATAAAGGACTAAGAAAGTGACGATGGACAGGACACACCTTCAGAAAGCCCAGCGGAAACATCACAAGACAGTCGCTGCAGTGGAACCCACAGGGAGCACGAGGCAGGGGTAGGCCACGGGAAACATGGAGGAGATGCGTGGAAAGGGACATGAGAGAGATGAAGCTCACTTGGAACGAGCTTGGAAGGATGGCCCAGGACAGAGATAAATGTAAGGGGTTTGAATGTGGCCTATACTCTGCCAGGGGAGAAAGGCATTGATGATGGTGATGGTGATGGTGATGATGATGATGATGATGATGATGATGATGATGATGATGATGATGATGATGATGATGATGAGGATGATGACTGTAGCTTGGATCACGGCAGTATACCCTCGGCCTAGTTTTTCCAGCCCACCACACAAATACTGTATGGAAATGAAAGCGGTGTTTTTTTTTCTTCCCAAGAAAAACCAAACAACTGATGGATCTATGTAAAAGAAACCACAATAAAATAAAGAACGATTATTATGTTTATTGCGATTTTTTAAAATGCACGCCAATATGAGAAATAGCACGAGATTATCCCGTTGACATGCCATTATATAGCATAAAGAACCATTTATCTAAGGGATATGTGAATTGTTTTTGGTGTAGTTTATAACGCATGAAATCCATTTTTTTCATTCAAATATTTCGTGTGACACAAATGAACCAAGTCGAATGATGTATATTAAACGTGGGTACAGCCGGCATTGTCAACAAAATAATGTTTCCTACAGGCGGGGACATCATGGAAACAGCTAGTAAAGGATGTACAGGACAGGCTTCGCTGGAGAAATGTTGTTGATGGCCTATGCTCCACTGGGAGTTAAAAAGGGCAAGAGAGAGAGAAAGAGAGAGAGAGAGAGAGAGAAAGAGAGAGAGAGAGAGAGAGAGAGAGAGAGAGAGAGAGAGAGAGAGAGAGAGAGAGAGAGAGAGAGAGAGAGAGAGAGAGAGAGAGAGACAGCCGGCGTTGTCAACGAATGTTTTCTACAGGAATAATCAAAGCTAAATATTTTCATTGTCATTTCAGCTGTATCAAGTCGTTATTTTACCAAAGTTTTGTAATGAATCGGGCAGAATCTATTTCGACTTATGGATGCCAAACATCTGACAGAATGTATTCCTGTACGAGGGATTCAGCTTGAGATAGACAAATATAGTACTGGAGCTGTTTACTAACTGAAACACTAAGGCCGTTACTATTATAACCCCAAACAAATTTTCATAACGGTGGCCAAAATTGATATCCGTTTCGACTCGTAAGACAACGACTATCATAAGTCGCGACATGTTGCACAAAATACAGATGGTCGCTAGTATGGACACCATTTTCACAACGCGACGGTTTTTGACCGTTAGGTTATTATTAGAACGTTTCCCAGCATCCATCTTGTTGGTTTCTTTGTCGTCAAGAGGGGAGCCATGTTGTGAGGAAGTTGTCTGTCCATGTCTCTCATTACAGCTCGGTGCGTCTTCACCTTTTTCGCCATCAGCCCACATTTCCTTTGTGGCTTTGCAACGTTTTGGATCTTCTGACGGTTTGGTGGTTCCCTGACGCTGAAATCGAGATGCCTTTTGAAGGCTAAACACCATGACCTGCGTGCTGACCGTTACTATGACCAGTGAAGTGGTGCCCAGAATGAGATGGTTCCAGAGGTTGAGGAAAGTGGTGATGGCTGGCATGTCTTCTGAGAGCCACAGAAGTAGACGGGTCGTGTTTGTGGAGACGTCCCACTGGGGGCGGATGCCGGATGTGACGAAGTGAGGCAGGTAACAGCCGAACGTGAGCGGGCAGATGATCACAACTGTCGCCACTGCTCGTTTGAACGTGAACATGTCTTTGAACCAAAAGGGCATAGCGACGCAGAGGCAACGTTCTAGCGAGATGAAGGCGGTGATGTAAGTTGACATGTCGTAGGTCACTGGCCCGAGATATGCCATCAGATACAGCATAGCTTCGGGGTCTAGATAGAAGTAAGCCTGGCTGGCGAGAAGGATATGACACACACCGATAATGAGGGAGAAAAACAAAGATAGGAAGTCAGTAATGGCGAGCGACAGGAGGCAAACGGAGACGCAATCTTTGGCGCCAAGTGTCGCGAAAACAGCGATGTTTATGCAGTTAAATATCGAGCCTAAGAGACACATTCCAAAGGTTAACACTGTGGACATATTTCGAAAAATTTCAAAGGTTTCATCGTCAATGAGTCCTTGAAAGAGATGAGTGGGAGGTTCTGTTATCTCCCCTTCCGTTGTGTTGATGGAGGTCACCATCTCGTTGTGGGGCATCCTGGGTACTCTGATAGAAGTATCTAATGATCTTTTGGTTTGGATTCTATTCTGCGTTGCGTCTGTCAATAAATCGATGGCTATTTAAAAACAAAAATAAAATAAACCCACGAAACAAACCCACCCCAAAACAAAAAGAACAAAATAATTATTGCGACTGTAACTGAAAGAAAAGAATTGTTTTCACATCCAAACCTATTGAGATGGCGCTCATATGACCGTATACATGCAGTTGAGAGCGCCGTAAAACCTCTACTAAAAAAACCCAACAACCTACTGAGTAAAACAGATGGCTGAGCGGTCAGAGGAAGGGGTGGCTAAATTATGTCCCACGTGTAGGGGTTCGCGGCCTGTGTGGGAGGTCTGTGGGTGAGTCACGACTGACGTCACGTGCCACAAAGCTCTTCCTTCCGGTCAGCGACTGTGGCGTGTGGGAGTCAGGAGTTGTCCTTATTTGATGTTTGTCACAATGTATTCTGGAAAGTCTTATCCTTCTTTGGTGTCTGTCACAATGTACTCTAGAACGTTATCAGTAATAATATATTCTACAAAGTTAGAATTTATTCATCTTCGTTATCAGTAATAATAATATATTCTAGAAAGTTACATGTATTTATCCTTCTTCGTTACCAGTAGGCCTAATAATATAATATTCTAGAAAGTTATAATTTATCCTTCTTCATTATGAGTAATACTATATTCTAGAAAGTTACAATTTATCCAGTTTCATTATCAGTGGTAATATATCCTAGAAAGTTATAGATGGATTTCTTGTTCTTCGTTATCAAAAATATATTCTAGAAATTATGAATGAATATATATCTAATTATCGTTGTTCGGTACCAATAATTCTATAATATGGAAAGTTAAGAATTGATTTGTCCTACATCTGCGAAAGATGTCTACTGGGGAAAAAATATACGGTCGTCTTTTCCTCTTTCGATGAGTTTGTGAATATGTGGGGCGTGCTAACAAAACGAGTTACTTCTCGCAATCCACAAATTGAAATATTGGCCAAAAATCGACATTAGGGTCAAATCTGTAGATTTTCTTTTGATGTCATATTCTTTAACTATAACCTGTCTTTTATTATTTCATGCTTATAAATTGTAAAAAGTTCACCTCTAAGTGTGATGTATCTATTTCCTTAAGGCTTGAATCCGAGAAGTAGTTCATTTTGTCAGCATGCTTCACATAATATAACAATATGGCTATAGACGGGTACGTCGGGGCTAAAAAGACAGTCTTTAAACTTGTACAGGAGCCATCATCCACCACTTCAAACAGAGAAACTTGTCAGAAAAACTTCCCAGCAGACACCTACAAGTAAGAGACTTCTCAGACAAATCTCCACTAATTTCTGAGTTCTAGAATTCTTCCTTTTTAAAGCCAATACATGCGTAGTATGGAGACGTTCTATCGCTATAAGTAGGCTAAAGAACTACTAATTTATTCTTTGTGTTCTATGGATGATCTTTTTGTTTAAACACCCCCCCCCCAAAAAAAAAATAAAAAAATACTAGCCTCACGTTACTTTTTCATTACTTGATTCCCAAAAGTGTCCCCGGAGTTTAGAAGTTTTGGTCATTATACTGTTTGCATTTTATTACATGACACGTGAGACTATTGATTATGCAATCACAGACTAGACTGATGATACAGTTTAAAATATACGTGTACATGAAATTATACCGTCTTGCCGAGACACACACGTAGTGATTAAATTGAAACAATTATAATGACTCATTCATTACCCCCAGAAAGTCTGAGATCAGCACCTCCAAAATCTACCTTCACAGCATAAAAAGAAAATGAGT